GGGGAAAGAGTCATCATAATTGAAGCTCATGTATGCTAGACCTTGCTATTCTCCTGTGCCCTCAGAACCATAAAGAAAAAATTTTTTTCAAGCCAAAGCATCTGCCAGTTGGTGGGATGGCATTAGGGGTGAGGAAGTGGTTGGTGATGCTGGGATGACTTCCATGTGATTCCGCACCTGGAGGCCACTTATTTCCGTGTCTTGGATATTTCAGTTTTCATCTATGTGGTTGCTGCCTTATTCATTCTGAATTTTTATCTTGCTGTTTTTCTCTTTCTTATGTCGTAGCACTTTCTTACCGTTGTGTATATCCCTTTCAATATTTTATTTTTAAAAAATGATCCAATGTCTAAAAATATTAGCAGCGAATGTAGAGAGAAAGAGTATGGACCTGTTGTAAGGATGGTCTGACTCCTGAGAAGGGGCAGTTTTCCTTCCAGCTTTGCCTCAGACAATCCCTTCAGTGCCCTCCCCATGGTGAACTGTGTTGTTCCAAAGAGGAGTCACCTTCACTCTGGAACCTCGGACCTGAGTTAGACAGAACACCTACCGGCCAGTACTAGCCCAAAAAATCTCTGCTCAGTTGGCTTCCCTTTCTATCCCCCAAGTAACAATCGATCCACCCACCTAATTACACAACAGAGCTCAACTCTATACCCCATTTGTAAAATGAGGGAGAACATCTACAATACCAGGACACTTACCACTGCTACATCTGATCCAAAGCAGTGTTTCTCAAACTTTCCATGCATCAGAATCACCTGGAGGGCTTGCCGAAACACAGATTGGCCCAGGTTGGTCTGGGGTGGCCCCAAGAATTTGCTTTTCTAACAAGTACCAAGATGTTGCTCATGCTGCTGGTCTGGGGGGTCACACTTTGAGAACTACTGCTCTAAAGTAACAACGGTCCCCCTAGTCAATATCAATGCATTTCATGAATATCCCCCACTTCCACCACCACAACGTTAGTTCTCCTTTTTTGGATGTTTTGGGTCTGTTAATTTAAAAAAAATCCATAAACCCAGATGGCTCTGTGGCCCCCTTGTAAAATCTCTCCCTCCTGGGACCCCGCCCCCCGGCCACTTCCCCAGTCGCAGTGATATTAGCAGTGTCAGGAAGCTCTGAACAGGCCTAAGATGGGGAGAAGGTACCAAAACTCTGTGCCAGGAACTGGAGAGTCTCTCTCCACGGAGGACACTGTAACATGATTTCCCAGGTTTAAGCATCATGATAAATGTCGTTACCATATCTAAGTAGAATCTACATATTGGAAAAATGTAGCAATGTTCTACTTACTGCTGTAAGTAACCTGGAAGGAATTGCTGTCCATCTTGTAGGTCTGATTGAGGTTCTGTGTTACTTGCTCGTTTGCTTTGCGCATTAATTCAGGTGACGCTGCTGTTGTAGTGACTTCATACACCACAACCACACTTCCAGGCCTGGATGGAGACCACTCAGTTCAGTAAAGCAGTAAGTGATCTGGAAGAGTCTAGATCCTTATGGTTTATTTGCATAAGAAAACAAAATGGCAGGAAGAGCCTGGGGACTTTATCTTCAGGGGTCCACTGAAATCCAACCTGTTTCTAAGCTCTAGCTGAAAGCCTGAGGCAGGGCTCGAACACTCAAATGTCTGCAGATGGGTAACATTAATGACTGGAATAGCTAGATGGGGCGGAGTGAATTGAATCCTACAAGTGGGTCAAAGGATATAAGCCACAAGGTACAGACTGTTGTCACACAGTCTGCTGGCCCAGGTTACCAGCTATGCTGAATATCCAGTGAAGCCAAAATCCTCAACGTTTCTGTAAACATTCTTTGTTTTTTAATTGGCAACTAACTTTTTGAAACACTGTGCAAACACACTTAGGGCTGCCCCGTGCCTAACTCCACAGGGATGCATTCACACGACAGTGTGCAACTCTGTGGCCATGGCTAGCTGGCTAACTTTTTTTTAATAAAGGCATGATTGCATGCATGACTTTATTTCATTTTTGCATTTCTGACTTCCCTAGATGGCAAACGTATCCCACATCTTTGTTTGCAAAATTCTTGCGTGCATAGAATGAACACAAGACTTTTTCTCACCTTCCTTCTAAGTAGGTACATCTCTAAGGCGTGAGCTACTGTTCTCAGTATTTCCTTTCACTTTAAGCCCTGGAAATCTGACACTGTCTTCACCTTTACCAAACTGCCCCCACTGGGCAACCCAGATGGTGCCCTTCTAACGGGCTTTTGCTTTTTCACTAACGTTTTGGTATCTGCCATTGGATAAAAATGACCCAGTTATAGCATTCTTACCTGAACTCTGTCACTGTCACCAAGTTGAAGCCTGGTAAAATACTGTAACCCTTCCAGAACTGGAAAATAAAGCAAGACAAGTGTCACGGATCAAGGTCCACTGAGAGACGGGTCAACAATTTGAAACAGAGTGAAAAGTGTCTATTTCTTATCACCCTGGGTAAAATGCTCTCCTGTATATTTTGTTAGCGCTAGCACTGGCAGATCTTTGAAGACGTGATTCCTATCTACCCAGGTCATTCTGGGTTCTCCAGGAAGCAAACACCAGAGTAAATGTGCAAAAAATTTACTTGGGGAAATGCCTAGGGGGAAAAAAATGGGAAGGCAGTGGGGAAGGCAGGGAGAGCCATCAGACCCGAGTGAAATTGTGCAGCAGGAGAGGCTGGATGAAATCATCCTAGACTGAGCCTGGGAAGGTTCAGTACAGCGTTCAAAGGAGTCCCACGTCTGCTAGACAGACCTGCCCTGCTCATTCACTAGCAGCGGGCAGCCCGCACTGCCATGCAGCAGCAGCCGGGCCCTCAGTCAATTGCATTTTCTGTAGTTGGAAATCTTCGAGGTGCCTTCTTGCGGCTGCCACACTGCGGGATCGGATCCCTCACTTAACATATCACAGCTTTGGTTGAGCCAATGTGGTTTTTACTGATGTTTTTACTTCATTTTGTTTCCCTGAATTCCAACCCCACAGGAAATTCAATTTGAATCAAGTCATATTCACAGGGCGGATGCCGTGTGCAAAGCGCTGTGTTAAGTAGCTGGATGGGTGGGATCCAAAGATTAATATGTAACTCTCCTTTTTCCCTCAAAAGTGTGTAATTTAGTGTGTCGTGTGTGTGCATGAGGAGGATTCTCATGCTGTGCAGAACTGTTACATGTTGGATATGCAAATCAGATATCCTACAGCTCTTCTGTATCCGAGTTTCATCATGGCGCCCATGAACAATGGTAGTATTTGACTGGGTAAGCAGGAGGCTGCTCCTGGCTTGAGGCAGAGGGTTGGCTGTCCAGAGGGTTAAGGGGAGTCATTACCTCAGCCCACCTGTAGCAATTTTTACCACACCAGTTGAGAAGCTCTATTCCAAATGAATTGACTCAGCAAAGCATTTAGGTTTAGATGAATTAATCCAATGTAAAGCATTTAGAATAGTGTCTGGCCCACAGTTTACAATGAGAGAATATCCTCTTTTTTTGCATGAGTAAATTTACATATGTATACAGTTTTTTTTTTTGTTTTTTTTTTTTTTTTTGCGGTATGTGGGCCTCTCACTGCTGTGGCCTCTCCCATTGCGGAGCACAGGCTCCGGACGAGCAGGCCCAGCGGCCATGGCCCACGGGCCCAGCCGCTCCACGGCATGTGGGATCCTCCCAGACCGGGACACGAACCCGTATCCCCTGCATCGGCAGGCGGACTCTCAACCACTGCGCCACCAGGGAAGCCCATGTATACAGTTTTTTTTAATATTCTTTTCGTTATGGTTTATCACAGGATATTGAATATAGTTCCCTGTGCTATACAGTAGGACCTTGTTGCTTATCCATTCTATATATAATAGTTTGCATCTGCTCATCCCAAACTCCCAATCCATCCCGCCCCTTCCCCCACTCCCCCTGGGCAACCACAAGTCTGTTCTCTAGGTCTGTGGGTCTGTTTCTGTTATGTGGAATCTACAATATGACACAAATGAACCTATCTACATGCGTAAATTTAAATCTGCCTTAAGTGTGAGTGCCTTGGGACCTCCAGGGTAGAGTGGCGTGGAATCCTCTGTGACAGACTTGGGCTGGTCTGCACAAAAGATGTTAGGGGTTTCACCCATGTGATGTGCGAAGATGAATAGAAATGCACCATCTGGTGCTTCTAGACCAGGTTCTTGGACCTTTTAGTAGGTTTCTGTGAGTTGATGCTGCCAAATTTTACGTGAATCAATTCTGTCCTGGGAGGAAATTCCACCTATAGGTCAAGATGATGTCCAACCATCCCCTGAACACTGTCTGATTTGAGCGCTTCTTAATTCATCATCCCAGAGGTATAGAAATAATTTCAACATTCACATTCATAAATTCTGACAGATTCAAGCCAACGACCCACTGTAAATGCAATAGATTCAGTTCAGCTCAGCGTTTGTTGGTTAAGAGCCTCCTGGGACCAAAACTCACCGCTGTTTCCAAGTCAGTCTTGTAGGACCTATAGAGGGCAGAGGAAGAGTTCTTGAGTTCTTCTTGAAAGCCCACATTGAGTCTGACTGACATTCGCAGGGTAATATCTGCTGAAGAACACAGGGCAATATTTTAAAAATCCCATGTCGGCACTTGAATACACACAGGACAGAGAAGCATTTGGTTGAGTTGATATCAAGTAGCCACTCAACAAACAAACATTCAGTGAGCAGTTACTTACCTCCCTGGAGCTGGCAAAAAGGTCCCTTGGGAGGCAGTCCCTTAAGGAGACTGCAATGATGCCCTGAAGGGGAGCCATCATGCCCTTGACAAGTGAGATTGTGGAGGCACCTTTCCTGAGGCCACTTATAGCCTTTCTCACAGGAGCACCAGATTTCACTTCCAGTAGGTCTGCAGACTGTCATCAACCAGAACAATGAGGAGAGAAAAGGTAGTTACCGCCTTTGTGTTTATAGATGTCAAGTATTTATACTTGTAGGAAACGCTAACTCCACTTCATATTCCCCTTCTGGGAAGTTCAGTAGTTCTGCACGAGATTCTCATGATTCCCGTACATGTCACCTCGCTGTTAGGCACGGCCATCTAAAAGATGACAGCTCTAACTATCCCAGGGGCTGCCTACAATGATAAAGTGCTAAACAGATTCCCGGACTAGAGGGTATGGCAGCCAGCCTCCAAGGTGGCACCACCCATCCCTGCCTCTGGGTACTCACACCCTTTTATAACTCCCTCTCATGTTGTACTAGGGTTGTTCTGTGTGACCAAGAGAATACAGAAAGAAGAGGTGGTGCATCGCTTCTGAGATTAGGTTATAAAAGACACTGTGGCTTCCCTCTGGGTTATACTCTCTCTCTCTCTCTCTCTCTCTCTCTGATCACTTGCTCTGGGGGAAGCCAGCTGCATTGCATGAGGACATGTCATAGAGAGGCCCACATGATTAGGAAGTGAGGTCTCTAGCCAATAGCTAGTGAGGAGCTGAGGGCTGCTAACAACCACATGCGTGAGCCTGAAAGTGGGTTTTCCAGGCTCAGCTGAGCCTTCAGATGATTGCAACTTTGGCTGACGGCTTGACTACCACCTCATGGGAGACCCCAGAGCCAGTGCTATCCAGCTAAGCTCTTCCTGGATTTTTGGCCCTCAGAAACTGTGTGATGTAATAAACATTTGTAGTTTTTTGTTTGTTTTGTTTTGGTTTTTTTTTTTCGGCCATGCTGTGCAGCTTGTGGGATCTTTGTTTCCCAACCTGGGATCAAATCCCGGGCCCTCGGCAGTGAAAGCACAGAGTCCTAACCACTGGATCGCCAGGGAATTCCGAGTCTGTTGTTATAAGATGCTAAGTTTCGGGGTAATTTATTACGCAGCAATAGATAACAAATATAGAGTATAAGTAAAAATTCTAAACTTGTGCCTTTTACATTTCAAGTCAGATGTGAACAGCCCAAACAGACTCCAATCCCATTAAAAACTGACACTGACAGATGCCCTGAAAATAGAGGGCTTGGAATTTATGTCTAAAACTGAACTAAAGCCACATCACTGTGAGCTGTTTGTTCTGCAGGTGGGCATCTAGGCAAAGGCCCACAGAGTGACCACCCAAAGGAAAGCCGTCAAATAATTGTTCCTGAAATAGGAGGGACAACCAAATCCCCTGGAATCCTTGGACACCGCTCCCGTCCTGTCCTCAAGAAGCAGGAGGGGGTGAAGGAGAAGCAGAAGGAATGGAGGAAGTCAAGGCTGCTAGTGAGTGTGGTGGACATTGGCCGGGGATAATTCGAAGGCAGCCAACCAGATCCCCTTTGTCAAAATCTCTCTCCCGCTGACGTGAAGAGCATTTTTTTGGTTGTTTTATTTTTGTTGTTGTTGTTTTTCATTTACTTTTTTTTTTTTTGTGGTACGCGGGCCTCTCACTGTTGTGGCCTCTCCCGTTGCGGAGCACAGGCTCCGGACGCGCAGGCTCAGCGGCCATGGCTCCCGGGCCCAGCCGCTCCGCGGCATGTGGGATCTTCCCGGACCGGGGCACGAACCTGTGTCCCCTGCATCAGCAGGTGGACTCTCAACCACTGCGCAACCAGGGAAGCCCTCATTTACTTATCTTTGAGATGGATGTGGAGGTGAATTTAGCAGAACTTTTGACTCCATGTAAGATACAAATGTGCCTTAAGAGGATGGCAGAAGCGACCACCCCTGGACCACCTACCGCATTTAGGGCTTGACACACATTGGCCATAAAAATCCTCAGTTTTGTGTACTATGATTAAAAATGCCTTTCAGATAACTAATAAGAACCTACTGAATAGCACAGGAAACTCTATTCAATGCTTCGTAATGACCAATATGGGAATAGAATCTAAAAAAAGAGCGGATATATGTGTATATATAACTGACTCACTTTGCTGTACAGTGGAAACTAACATTGTAAATCAACTACACTCCAGTTAAAAAAAGTTGATTAAAAAACATGCCTTTCTTGAAAGGATCATAAGATAAGCTGTTGGAAGAGTGGGTGGGGGAGGCACAGGAAGAGGGGAACAGAGAAAATTTGGGGTGCTTAGATATGAGTATCATGGTCAGTAAGTCTAATCTTCCTTACCCAGCCATCCCATTACCTCCTCTCTGAGGTCAACTCTCCCCAGGCTACCCCCCCCCTCCACACCCCACATCCCCCTCTAACAGGAAGGGGCTCAGAGCAACATTTCTCCTGATTGGCCTAATCCTCCTATTTCAAGCAATGGGTCTTTTACTCACCTGTTGTCACCTCGATGCTCAAAATGTTGGTAGCTGTGTCAGTGTCATTCCCTTGAACTGGAAAACTGAGGCTTTTCAAGTAAGCTTTGCTAGGCTCCAGGAAGGAGGCATCTTCAAAACTGACCTCAACATCGACAGTGAACTCTTGGGCTGCAGGACTGCTCATGGCAACTGGAACGAAAGCATATGAAGGCTGTGAGAACTCACTGTGGCGGGCAGAGAGAGAACGTGATGGACCTTTCAGCGCTTAAAGCCAATGACGTTTTAATTAGGTGGTTGGGATGAACAGACGCACACTACTATATATAAGATAGATAACCAACAAGGACCTACTGCATAGCACAGGGAACTCTGCTCAGTGTTCTGTGATAACCTATAGGGGAAAAGAATCTGAAAAAGAATAGATACATGTACGTGTATAACTGAATCACTTTGCTGTACACCTGAAACTAACACAGCATTGTAAATCAACTAGACTCCAATATAAAATAAAAAGCAGAAGTTTCTTGGGAATCCCCTGGGGTCCAGTGGTTAGGGCTCTGCGCTTCCACTGCAAGGGGCATGGGTTCGATGCCTGGTCGGGGAGCTAAGATCCCGCATGCCGTGTGGTGCAGTTAAATAAATTAATTAAAATTAAAATTAAAAAAAAAAAAAAGCTAATGACTGGGACATGTGGATGCCGGACACATCAGCCTTTAAGAATTTCTAATGAACTTTTTTAGAGAAAAAGAAGTTTGTTTACTGATCACCACCAAGCCCTCCCTTCATGATTCTTCCTCTCTGCGACTCTGCTGTACTAGAGGAGAAAGGAAACAGATCTAGCTTGTACCAGCGCTGTGGTCTCTGGCCATCTGAGAGCTTCACAGGCCAAGCTGAGGACTTGTCCATACTCTCCATTCCCACACCCCCGCTTGGTGTCCAAGGCCAAGGGTGACTGTGTGGAAAATGGACTCAAATGGGACACGAATAGAAGCAGGGAGACCCGGCAGGGAGGCTCGGCAACCGTCTAGACAATAAAAGCCATGGTCCTGACTCACCAGCATGAGTCAGTATGTTTCTGACACCATTCAATGGTCATGCGTGTATTTTGAGAGCTGAAGGATGCACTCACGGCCTGAAGACCTCTGGGAAAAGTCATGTAGTTAATTCCCTTTGTTCTTAGCCTGTATGCAAAGCTTGGGCTCTTTGTTCTTACTCTGTATCTCTGGTGTTCAGCACATGCTAGGTACTCAACAAAAGCAAAATTGGCAAATTGGAAATTAAAATAAAACAGATCTTCAGCAATTCATTGTTCTTCCAAATTGTCTCAAGACTGGTTGCCCGGCTGGCATTCTAGATGAGTCTGCTTCCCAAGCCAGGCAAGCCAGACAATAGATCTATTGGAATGTTACTGCATAATTATCACTATTACATCATGTCTGGGGCTGTTGGTTGTAAGTTCTCAAGGGTAGGAACCGCTTCTTTCACTTCTCATGGCCTTACCCACTCCATCTGGCATGGAGCCCAGAACATAATAAATTCATGTCCAATCAATTCTTGATAAACCTGTGATTTCTGAGTTGAGTCACAGATTCACCTTTCTGTCGTGGCCAGAATCTTTGGCTCATCCCTGGTTGAAATATATAACTGGAGCAGAAGCCATGGGCTTGGTTAGGAGCTAATGACGAACCTTCAAAAAATAGGAGAATTTTTAACACTGATGCCTTGAGAAGACAAGTTGTGGCTTATTTTATCTTGCCAGTCATATAAGGAAAAGATTAGTGAATCCCTGCAAAACTTTTACTTTAAAATATAAGTAAAATCTGGAAGTACGATACATATATATACATATATATATGTATATATATAAAACCATAACATTAAAATTCTATGTCTGTTTTCTAAAATGACAAAGAATTTCCCCCATAATATCACAAGATTTGTTTTAAATATTCCAAGGATTATTTATGAGAAACACTAAAATGGAGTAAGTTTGCTATGGGAAACTCCAACTGATAAATGTTTATTGTAGAAAATGGTAATATTTGTCCACTTACAGCTGTAAACTATGTTTGTCTAGGAGTTTGGTTTTACTTATCAACCTTGTTGAGAATTATTTCATTTTGGCATCCTTCAACTTGCTGTAATTAACTCAAACTGTAAAAGATGTCTGTGTACATTTTCTTAAAATTAGGAATGCATCTTGCGGTATGTTTCCTCCTTATAAAAATGTATTTACAAGTAGAACACAGTGACTTTTAAAACCCAGTGCGGAATCTCAGTTTGTCACGATATTATGGCATTGCTTGAAATTTCCTGTTTTCTTTCTGATTTGCAAACGGTTCTGTGATGCAAACAAGCTCCCTGGAAGGACTTGCTAATCTTAATCTGAGTGATAACACTAGACATAGTATGTGGCCTGCTGGGAACATTTGCAAGGAGGGCGGCTGCATGATATTTATAAAGCTCTGTTTTAGAGCACATTCTTTTTCCTGAAAAGTAACGCAGCAATGTTTATACCCTCCGGAGGATTCAGAAGCTCCAGGATCCTCTTTGCTGTGGTCAGTCTACTCTCCTGCCAGGAATGAATGTAAACAGGATTTCCTGGACGGTAGCCGCCTTTGAGATGAGTGAGGTCAGTAACAATCCCGTATCACCCACTCCATCACCTGCATTATTGCCTCCCAGGGTCTGATCCCAGCATGATTTCAATGCCTGCCTGAGGGTCGTTAGTATCACCCATCCCTGAGCCCACCTCTCTCTGATCTTTACAGACGTAACTGGAGAATGAGCATGTGCCTGAAAAGCACATGGTGCTTCCTGGATGTCATCATTCCCCACTGAAGCCAAGGTAGTTCTTCCGCTGAGGTCTTACAAGGAGCTGAGCCAAAAGCTTAAAATACCACTAAGAGGACAGTTCCTGTGACTTTAGCGAGTTCTAGTCTATGGCATTTGTGCAAATATTAATTGAAGCACCAGCCTCTAAGACCCCCTTCCCCTCAGCCACCTTTTATGCTCTTGACAACTTCTAAGGGAGTTTCAGAATAACCCTCAGCCTGAGCATCAGTTCTCCATAGAGACTGATACGGATGGGAAACATTTAATAGAGAAAGAAATGTCTTCTTGAAAATGGTCAATTCTTCAAAACAGGCTCAAAAACACCATAGTAACTCAGAAGGCTACAGGCTTGCCCTTGGAAATCTTCTATTCCCGTGGTCCCCACTCCTGACTGATGATTATCCACACCTAGGGATTCTACACACACAGATATTGTGGAGCCTCAACCCAGGTGAGTCAAAGTAGACTCTTTATAAGTTAGTTCCAGAAATCTCTGCTTTTAGGCATGAGAAAAACGATTCCCCCAAAGAGTAAATGACTTGCCCCAGCTTCTGCTGCTTGTTGGTGGTGTCCACAGGACCAGAACTTGGATCTCTGGACTTCTAGAATGGGGTTCTTTCCATTACCTCACTCTGACAGTGTGCCTGGTAGAATCATTTCTCCCTTAATTGTGCCATGCGTTCCTCAGGAAAAGAGAATAAAGGATGTTTTGGAGGTGGGGTGGGCGTGCAGTAATTAATAACGTCAAAGATAGAGATAGCTTGGCTGGACCTACCAGTGACCATTGGCTTGGCCCTGAACCCAAAGCATCCTGGTGTTATGGGCAAGCAGAACACAGAAACACCCCTGGGCCTCCAGTCCCTGTAATGCCCAGGGAGAGCATCTGAGTTTAAGGGAAGAAGCCCAGATGCTCAGGATTAGTATGACTTGTGTAGGGTGGGGTCAGGGGCCCAAGATTTGGGGCCGAAAGGCCAAACCCTGTCCACCTCACCTCCTCCAAACCTGAGGACTTCAGAGCTTCGGAAAGTGATGCTGGTGGGTTTGCCCCAGGCTACAAGGGACCCAGGAGGAACAGGAAGGTTCCTCCCACTCTGTGTAAGTGTGTATTTTAGAGGCCCTTCCATGCTTCTCTGCTGCCTCTGGACCACCTGATTCCAGACAGTTCAATGTGTTCTCTTTGCCTCGGGCTCCTTCGCCCCGGTGTTGTTTGTCTGAGTTCTTCTGACTCACCGATGCCCCAGTGGAAGGTAGCACATTCCAGGGGTCATCAGTGTCACAGACGCAGGCCTATCCCTGGCCTGGGAGGCACAAACCAACCAGGATTTCCCCTCTCCTTTCCCATTATTCACTGCCCGCCACACAGCACTTATCTTATAGAGACATTTCTGGAAAGTTGGCCACAAACTGTGACAAGCAGTTCTGGGTCTTCATCACGGCTGTTTAAGCAAACAAGACTACTTTTGCCTGGCCACTCTACTGGTAATTACAGCTTCTCAGAAGTCGGGGCCTAAGTCAATGTATAAATGAATCTCTCACCTGCAAGAGAGTGAAGCCTGCTGACATCACTCAGGAGAAATGAAGTTCGTATGGTTTTCTCTTGACCAAAGGGGCCCATGCTTCTTTATCACTGAAGATTTGGATTTGTTTCTCCCCCTTAGTCCTGTAGCAGGTAAATGTTAAAAGCTACCTGCTCTGCTTTTTTCTTGACATGTTCTCGTAGGTACCAATTTGGCAGCGTCATCTGGATCTGCTGTACCTTTGTCAGGAGAGAGTCAGAGAAACTCACCTCCATATAAAACGGTCCAACCCACCTTTAGTTAGTTCTATTAGAAACTTACATTTAGCCCAGACCTATCTCTCTGTAGCTCCTACCATTTTCTAGGCAGTAGCTTTGCCCTTTTCAGGCTCCCAATATGGGATGACCCTGCTTTTGATATTACAGAATTTGAATTTAACTTATGGTGCGTGCATATCCTATCCTTACAACCAGATTAAAAGTTGATAGCCGCAGTCAGCATGTTTTATGTTCTTTGTGCCCAATAGGTGCTTAATAAATGTATACTAATTAAATATTAAAAACACTTCTTTGCTAAAAAAAAAAAAAAAAAAAATCATGGCACGGAATCTCACAGGCAGGATCCAGAAAGTCATGTTGAAAACTCTGTCTCTTAACTATGAGCTAGGACTTGGGGAGCCTAGAGAGCTGGGGTAAATGCCCACTCACCTGGGAGGCTACTGAACCCCTGTGAGCCACGCTTTTCTCATCTGTAAATTAGGAGCACTATTTTCTCTGCAGAATTTGTTGTTAAGGAGTTGGGGTATGAAGACCCCTAGCAAATTGCCTGGCATATAATAGCCATTCTGAAACGGCGTGTGGAAATAATAATACTGATCATAATAAGTGTACGGATTATCATCTATGCAGCCATCTGCTGGTAGGTCAACTAAACCTAATTCTCTTCCAATCAGGTCTCACTTTTGAGATAGGTAAGCAAAAAACAAACAAACAAACAAACAAACAACCCACCAGGCAGAGAGAACCAGCCTTCTCTTCTTACTTTGCCACCACTACTGCCTGCTCAGAGCACGAAATGCCACAAGTTATCATAAGAAAGATTAAAGCCAGGAAAATCCCCAACTCTGTTTCTCAACCTGGAGAATGCACAGCATTTCCTGAACACAGATCAAAAAGAGACAGCACACCCAGCCGGGCTGCAGGTCTGCAGAAAGGTCAGGATTTCCGAGCTGGCAGCTGGCAACCCAATCTGGTAGGAACCTTGCTCTCACTGGATCTGTGAAGATGTAAGTGCCTCCAGCTCGGGCTTAGGACATCCTGGGTCTCCCTTTCTCCTACCAGCCATTCCTTTTGAAACCAAAGAAGAACCAGTGGGGACTCTTCAGCCCAGGACCCAAGACACATTCCCAGTTAAGCTGAGAAATCTGACATGGGGAACTTTATAATTGATGCTGAGGACACATTTGCGTTACTTCCAACCTAAGAAGCCTCTTTTTAGGAAAAAAACCTTTAAAATCAGTCCATCCCGGCACTTTATTTATTTTTGGCCACACCATGCAGCATGCAGGATCTTAATTCCCCAACCAGGGATCGAACCCGTGCCCCCTGCAGTGGAAGCGCAGAGTCTTAACCACTGGACCCCCAGGGAATTCCCAAGAAACTTCTGCTTTCAGTCCCCTGTGAAGATTGCCCTTAAGACTAAATTTCCCGCTGACTGTTGTTCTTCCAAAATAAGATTTTCATTCCAGCTCCGGCTTCTACCCGTGGCCTCCACCTCCCCAGTCACCCGGATCTGTGCACTCCCAAGTATCATATAGATCATTCCTCCCTGTCACCCCCATGTCAAGTCTGTCCCCAAGTCCTTTTGACCCAATTCTCCAAATGTCTCTCACAAGCGTTCGCCATGTTCCTTTCCTAACGTCATTCCAGGTACCAGGGCCGATGACGGTCCACACTGCTGAGCATCCTTGCTGGTCTCCCGGCACTAACCTCTTCATCTAATTCCTTCACCCGTAACCATCTGGCAAATTTTCACTTCAGATGGCTTCCACCAATGCCTTCTCTGTGGCAGTCTCTCGGCTAGTCTAGAATCCACTTCCTGGTGGAATCAGGACAGAATTCTGGAGGCTTTGACGGATGTTTATTTCCCTCTGCTCCCCAATAGCCACTGACAAGCAGGTTCATACTCTTCTTGCCTCTGGCCTCCGAGTTTTTGGTGAAGGTTTCTCTGCCCCCACAGAGTTTTGAGATAGTTTTCCTAAAATGCTAATATTGTAGCATCCAACCTCCTACCTTCAGTAGTTCTACAAAACCTTCTCTGTACCAGGTATATTTCAGGCCCTGTCAAATGCAATATTTTTATGAATAAGTCAATTAAATTTGTTTTTAATTTTAAAAACCATTAAAACAAACAAAAACATCAAATACCCCCCACCAGATAACTATATTAACATTTAAAAAATAAGTACATACTATTACTTAATCCTCTCAACAACCCTGTACAGTAAAAATATATTTGTATGTATGTATATATATGTTTGTGTGTTTGGATGTGTGTGATATATTTGTGATACATAATACGTGGTAATGGAAGAAGTCCATAGCTCTGAGAATAAATGTGAGTATTGATCCTACCTTTAAAGGAACAAACTTTAAAGCTCTACAGAGTTGGTCCAGGGCCTCAAAAGAAAATTCCTTTTGAGAATTCTCTTTCTCTTGGGAACTTTGTTTGCCCCTTTCTGGCATGAAGGCTCCAGAACACAGACACTTCTGTGTGGCAGCTGCTGAATGTAACCTTCCTATTGCTTGCTTTCCTAGGTTTCCTGGAGAGCGATGCTCTTAATTAAGCAACTTATATTCTGAGTATCTGCGGCCCAGGGCCTGGGCCTATCCATGACCAGTTCTTACTTCAGTGATTTTGTACAAGTACCAAGGCCAATCCTTTTCCTGCAGATGATGGGTTGAGTCATCAACACCTCCAAAATGACCCCAGAGCCCCAAACCATGTATAAAAAATGGAAAACATGTTTTCATGGTGATTTGTCATCTTCGTGACTGTTTTTAATGAAAGCACGTCTGGAAAAATTTTGGAATGTCAAATCCTTAGAAGTGGAAGTGCTTTCCTCTCTGAGGGCTAACCTCTCATGCTGGCACCAAGGATCACAAAGAGCTAGGCCCGGAAGTGCAGAAAGATGTTACTTTTCCAGGTGTAGGGTCACCAACTGGTTCCGAGGCAGGTGGCAGCCTGAGCCCTAGAAGAAGCTGGCAGAACCCGGAGCTGGAACTTAACTCAAGTGGTTTGATTTTAAGAAGAAATGTCTTTCAAAATATTGAGTGGGGACATCTCTGGTCCTGTTCCTGTCACGGGGGTGGGAGGGTTCAAGGGGTTGTCGGCGGGGAGGGGTGGGTAGAGGTGATAATGCTTGTTTTAAAGCACAGGAAGTACAAAGTACAGTCTGTGCTGTGAATCACTTTAGGGAAGGAGAGGGGGGCGAGTGAGGATCCCACAGGGATATAAAACAAGGTTGAAATAGAAAAAAAAAAAAAAAGGGAAGGAAGGGAAGGAGAGAGGACCAATGGTATGAACTTCCTTCGAGCACTTCAAGAGCTTAATACAATATGGTTGAATTCTCATTTCACGCACAGGGCAGCAGGCGGATCTTGTTATGGCCCTGTAAGGGGCTCTACCGGACGCCTTTAATCTGCCCTCGGCGCAAGCCTGCTCCCTCTGGCAGCCTAAAGTCTCTTTTAGACCACCAGACTGAACAGACCAAGTCCCAGCATGCCTGGAAAAGGATTCAGTCCCAATGTTACAAGTGAAGAAATTTCTAGACGGTTGGTCCAGCCACGAAGCCAGCACTCTTAGCAAAAAGGAACATATCCTCGGAACTCACACAGGGGCCGCTATGACAGAGACACGCCTTCTCTTTATTTGTTCACTCATCTGTTGGGACACTGGGCTACATGCCAGGCTGCAGAGAGGAAGAGGGTTCAAGGGAGCTCATGTCTCCTGGGAGTGGCAAACAGGAAGCAAAAGAATTACAATGCATTGGGATAAATGTTGGGCTACGAGGATGTATTGTGGGTAATGGGAACCCAGGAAAACAGCCCCTCCCTGTGTGGGGAATTGGTGGAAGACCTTCCAGGGCAGGAGCCTATGTGAACTGAGTCCCCCAGACAAGCAAAGGGGTGTGGTGAGTGGGATACTGACTCTGTGAAAAGCAGCAGCAGGACAGTGAGTGGGCAAAGCACTTAGGGTCCAGTGAGCGGATAATCAGATTTTATCTCCAAAGCAATTGGCAGCCCTTGAAGGATTTTCTGCAGGGAAATGAGAAAATCAGGTTGATGCTTTTGCAAGGTTGCTGTGGTGGGAGGAGCTGGTCCTTGGAAAATGCAGCCTCCGGATGTACCCACCTGCTCAGGATCCCACATGAGGGAGGAGACACTGACCGTCACCATGCAGGTGTTCACAGCTCTCACCTGCCCCCAGCCCTCCAAAGGGCAGAGCCCTGTGTTTTCCAGACAGCTTCTTGGGAATTCAGTGGGAAACTCGAGTGGCAGGCAGAAAAGGACTTGGGTCTAGCGATTCAACTGATCCACAAAATAAAGTGCTGAGTGAGAGGAGATGAGGTTAAAAGAAAAAAAGAAAAAGAAAAAAGGCAAGGCTGCTGGGCTGAGAAGAGAGAAGCAGGCTTTTTGGTGGTGGCGGAGGGCAGCTGAAGGAAGGGGCCTTGGGGAAGTCGTCAGGCTCTGAGGAGAGGTGATGGGAGAGGACACGAGCCTTGAATGTGCTGATAAGACCCCTTTAATGTCATTTGATAGAGAATGGAGTTCCTTTGCAGTTACTTCTAGAAATTGAACACTTAGGTGCTCAGAGACTGAATTACGTGGATCCCAGTGTTTCAAAAAGTTACAACAAATGTCATTTGACGGGATTTACTAGAACAATGGCCAAGCAAAGGGTTACATACCGGCTCGTTTTTGCCTTACTGGGTCCTCCCCTGCTAGTTCATGTTCATGGAGAAGCTGAAAGAACATTTTAGAAAATAGTCAGTGAGTGTTAGAGACGTCTTTTCACAATGGTTCTCTGTTCACATGCCCCGGGATGTTCAAGCTGAGGGTAGGGCTGCAGATTCTGGGTCAGCACCTTGTGCCCCGGGGATGGCGGGCAACCGGTGATTGAAGGGTCAGGGAAATGAAATGGATTTGTCTCTGCGGTATGATCTGGGCATCGACTTTTTATAGATCAGTCTCTAGATGCAGGAGCGGAAGAAATCAGCCTATCTGAGTTTCTCAGAGTTCCTGCTGCTTGAGGCCTGTCAAGAAATATAAATGACACTGTCCTCCACTGTACTGAGACTTGAACCCTGAGTCATTCGCATGACCTTCTAGACTAGTCTCACGACCTGTCTTCCACACTCAGCCTGTCCCCACCCCCATATTTCTGCAGCATTAGGGCTGTTTAGATTCTGCATGCTTAGAAATTATTTTCTCCTCCTCTGGCCCTTTTTCTCCTAGATGCTTCGGTGGTTGCCTTCTGAGGCGGGGGCTTTGAGAGCCAGCTCTAGAGCCAGAATGCCTGGGTACAGGCCCTTACTAGCTATGCCACCTTGAGGAAGTTACTCGTCCTCTCTGAGCCTCAGTTTTCTTTTCTGTAAAATGGAATAATAATAGTGCTGACCTCATAGAATTGTTATGAGAAATAAGCCAACCGCAACGTGGAACATAGAAAGCTCTCAATAAATGTTAGTTAGATCATATAGTACAATAATTAAGCATAAGGACTCTGCAGAAATTGAATTCAAATCCTAACTCTGCCATAAAATGGCTGTGTGACCTTGGGCAAGTTACTTAACCTCTCAGTGCCTCAGTACTCACCTAAAGTAGAGCGATAAAAATAGCTTACCTCATGAGGTTGTCGTGAGGATCAAATGATCAATCAATGTAAAACACTAGAATAGTTTTGATGACAGAGTAAGTGCTATTCTGGGACAGGGCATCATGCTATCCTGGGGGCACCATTCACATGGACCCCCCCCATTTGCATACTGCCACTTGCTTCATCTCCATAAAGCTCATCTACTGTCATCATGTGGCTTCTTTGTTTAAGAACTGACATTGATTGGCTTTGCTGCTGAGTTCACTGCCAGCTCCGTAGCTTATAACCTTACCTTGACCCGATATGGGGCTCCTAGCTCATCCCTGCCTCCAAGTGAGTTTTCCTATGATATGTTTCCCAATCCAAACTTCCTTAAGTCTCAGTAGAAGAGCCCGATAACCCATGACCTCCAGGGTGTGTGCTTTACCATGAACCCTATATGCACCAATGAACACCCCCCGAGAGAGAGAGAGCTCTGCCATCTGTGGTCTCTACTATTTTTTCCTAGTTATCTCACATAATAATGATAACAAAAATAATAATTCCTAAGACTTCTTCAATACCCTGTGCCAGGCACTGTTAAGTACTTGGTGTGTGCTTATTTATTTAATCCTCATGACAATCTAAGGCGTAGATACCGTTATTATCTGCATTTCACGGATGAGAAAACACCAGGCGCAGAGAGGTCAAGTAACTTGCCTAAGGTCACACAGCCTTGAAGTGGCAGAATCAGGACTCAAACCCAGCTAGCCTGCATCCTAAGTTTGTGCTTATCCACAGAGGTATGACATCGTCTTATCAGGAGATACCCTGGAAACTGTGGGGGAACTGGGTTCCCCTCGGTGACCCAGTATCTCTTAACTAGTGCCTTTTCTCTTTCTTTCTCTATTGTCTCCTCCACCCCCTCCTTCTTTTCAACGACTAGTATTCACGTCCACAGGAACTGTGGAGGGACCTGAGAGTTCACAAATGTTCTTGAAGAAATGAACAGAGGAATGATGGCTGATGATTAGAATTTCCAAAGCCCAGGGTGCTGCTTCGTTTGCAGTGAGATTATTTCAGGTCTATCGAAATGTGCAGAAACCAAGAAATAACAAAGTCAATGTATAGGGCTGGTTCCTGTGCGGCTTGCCCTGGAGCCTTCTCTGGCTCTGTGCCTGGGCAGAAGGAAGAGTTCTTCCGTTGCCTTGCTGCCTCCATCCTCCCTGGGGCTTGGGGGCGGGGAAGGGGAGCCACGAGTAAGCTTCTCTGTCCACTCTTTTTTTTTTTTTTTTTTTTTTTGCGGTACGCGGGCCTCTCACTGTTGTGGCCTCTCCCGTTGTGGAGCACAGGCTCCGGACGCACAGGCTCAGCGGCCATGGCTCACGGGCCCAGCCGCTCCGCGGCATGTGGGATCTTCCCGGACCGGGGCACGAACCCGCGTCCCCTGCATCGGCAGGTGGTCTGTCCACTCTTCATGGCTTGCTGCTGGGGAACTCAGCCCAGGAGAAGGTGACTACTGGTGGTCACTTTGGGGAAGTTCTCCCAAGCTGAGATTTCATTTCTCCCATTTTCCAGGGGTGCTAAAAAATTAAGGACTTGCTGCCGGCACTTGTGGGTTAAAATCAAGGTACATTTCAATCCTCTCATGCAGAGCATTTCAAATCTTTGTGGGCATAAGGATCACCTCCCTCCCTCCCCTAATCCGATTTAGCAGGTCTAGAATTGGGTGAAGAAAACTGCTTTTTTAGGGGCTTCCTTGGTGGTGCCGTGGTTAAGAATCCACCTGCCATTACAGGGGACACAGGTTCGAGCCCTGGTCCGGGAAGATCCCACATGCCACGGAACAACGAAGCCCATGTGCCACAACTACTGAGCCCACGTGCTACAACGACTGAAGCCCGCTCGCCTAGAGCCCATGCTCCACAATAAGAAGCCTGCGCACCGCAACGAAGAGTAGCCCCTGCTTGCCACAACTAGAGAAAGCCCGTGAGCAGCAACGAAGACCCAACACAGCCAAAAATAAATACATAAATTAATTAATTTTTTAAAAACTACCATACGATCCATTTGATGGATAAATGGATCAACAAAGTAGGATATACATACAATGGATCCATATTCAGACTTAAGAAAGGAAGGAAATTCTGATGCATACTACAACATAGATATATTTTTAGGTCATTATTCTAAGTGAAATAAGGCAGTCACGAAAAGACAAATACTGTATGATTCCACTTGTATGAGGTACTTGGAGTAGCCAAAATCATGGAGACAGAAAGTAGAACAGTGAGTTCCAGGAACTAGGGGGTGCAGAGCTAGGGAGGTATTGTTTACTGTATACAGAGTTTCAGTTTTGCAAGATGGTTCTGCAGATTGGCTGCACGAAAATGTGAATATATTTAACACTACTAAACTATACACTTAAAAATGGTGAAGATGGTAAATTTTGTATTTACCACAGTTCTTTTTATAAAAGCTCATCACCCCATGTTGCTTTTAAAATGGTAGAAGTGGGAGCTGAGTGGCAGCTTAGGGCAGCATGAGCTGATAAGGCAGGTTCAAGGGCACCTTTCCAATGGAGGTCTTCAGCCTCTAGGCTGGATGAAGATATTATATCTTGAAGGTAGATCTAGGGGGTGACAATTGGGGCCTTTTGGCATGGTGGTGGGAGCTTTCAGGAAGACAAATTTAAAGTTCCACCAGCAGTCCTGGGAGGCCTATCCCCTGATCAGCCTGGGCCATGAGGCAGATGGAGGGACTTTGTTAAGGATGTTGTGATGAGGGCCGAGCTGGCACAGTGGGAGGGCACTGCTGCAGCTAGGAACACCGGGAAACTCTGGAACAGAGGTAAGGCTGACCCCATTGCTGGGATCATTTCAGGCTCCGGCTTTCTCTCCACATGCTTGGGGAAAGTAGAGCTCTGTACTGACCGTGCAAACTCACAGGAAAAGTAATGTTTCCCTCCTCTATTTATAAGAGCAAGCTGCTGCATATAATTGCATGGGCTGTATCTCGCATATTGGAGTTTGGAAGAAGACATACAAAGTATACCTCCCAAGTCATTAGAGAAATAAAAAAGATAAAATCTAGGTCCAAACAAAGAAAGACACAAAAACAGAAGAGAGGAAGGAAATGCATAAACTCATAAAAAAACATCCTGAAAGTAAGAGCAAGCATTTAAAATATGACATCAAATGTGAATAAATTATACTCCCCAAATCACAGTCAAGTTAAAAAAAAAAGAACCTCAAACATTCCTTGTTTATAAGAGAACCAGTAAAACAAAGGAATATACTGAAAGCTAAACAAAAAATAAAGAACAAAGATCAGGCAAACACAAATAAAAAACAGAACTGACCATTGGAATATAAGACAAAGAATTAAAATTGAAAAGTACCAAGCAGGGCAAAAAGAGACATTTTCTCATGGTAAAATCTACCAGTGAAGCTCTAACAATAGTGACAGACTGGATAAAGTAGCACTAAAGTATCTTTTTAAAAAGTCAGTAGAAAAAAATACTATTACGAGAAGAGAAATCATAATAGCAAACACCGATAGAGCCTTTTAAAAAATGTATCAGGCACAGGGAGTTTACTGGGTCAGTAGATGGAGGGCGGTCAGGACTCATATTTCTTTTCTTTTTTTCCGAATGCCTGTTGGAGAAAATCTCATGTAACCTGTGTGAGTCAGTCGTGAGTGTTTCCGCTTCTGGAAGAATACATCTGTGACTACATTCGAGTGTAACAGATAAAGAGACCCTGCATTTTACCCTCTCCAGAAAATAAACTTCCAGACTTCTGCCAGGGTGGAGGAAGGGCAACTTGCCCAAGTTCATGGCATGGGAGAGGGGATATAGGGACCCAACCACTTTTCACACAACCTTCAACCAGTCTCCTTGTATCAGCATTCCCTTCATGCCCCACTTTCAGAGGGTTTCATCAATTCTTGGACATTTTGATGAATATTAAGTTAGCTTTCTCCACTGTTGGCTTAAGATTCAGCTTTCTTGAGTTTTCCAATTTGATTGCCAGTTGAGTATTTGTCTTCTTGTCTCCAAAATTCTGTTTTATAATTTCCTTTTCTGCTCCATCATTATAATTTTACTTTTATTGATGCTGCAGTCAGATTTTAAGAGGACTGTGCTCAACATTATTTTGTTGACCAA